TGTTTTGGCGTGGTTTGGCGTGAAGCCCTCAAGGACTTAAAGTCTCTATCTCGAGTCATAGCGCGCTCGTTTCTATGTATCGTTTTCGCTCTGATTCCAATCATGGAACGCGAATCACAGTCCACGGCGAATGGCCCCACCTATCTAACTCCACCAGAATCCTCCGTAGAAACGGCAACGCCGCAATCTGTTTTTGGGCGAGCGACCTGACGCAGCTCAGTTGCGCAGTATCTCTCAATTTCAAATCCTACAAAACTGGTCTAATTTCGTGGAATTGCTCCCAAGTCAATCGCAATGATGTTCTTCGTGGTTCCTGAAACATCTCATTGCCAATGCATTGAATTTGAAACTATCTAGATGTGGGCTTCGCTCCCACTCACCCGACAACTCGGCTAATTTTTTGTTCATTGTTTCGATTGCAGACGTGTAATTCCACGTGGAGTCTACGTGGCAATAAGTATCTGACATCGTAAACCAGGGCGTTCAGTCAAAGCCCCCGCCTTCTTCTACATAAAAAGCCTATTTTTTACTTTTATCAAAAAGTATCCTTTACATTCATTGCAAAAAGGTAACTTTCACCATTTTCTAAAAAACATGATTTGATTTGGTATAATCGAGAGGATCCTTAAATTTGATATCTTAGATGGGATAATGATAGTATGATATATCAATAAATAGGTCCTATTAGTGGTTAGGAACTTTATAATATGGTTCCTACATAGTCCAATGCTTAAATCGAATCCTTAGGATTTAGACAAATAAAATTGGATACATTTGTAGTTTTTGCTCAGTTGCAAGATTTTTCAATGATATGATGTCCAATTTGGCAGAATAATAGATATTAGGCCAAAAGTAATTGTTGAAAAAGGCAGTAGAGCAAAACAACGAACAAGCTCTACATAGAAATGTGTTTGTCTCCATATTGAATTTTTGGCCAATAGATACTATCCAAAATACCATCAAAATGCTTTTTTATACGATGAGGTCATGCACAATATAGATAGAAGCCATAATATTTGTGATTGTACAAGATATTCTGATATATAAAATGTCATCAATAACAAATATGACAACCAAAAGACTTTGCAAACTAAACATTCAAATATAACAACAATCTATATGCAGGGAATTGAAAATACATGCAACAAATAATGTTGTAGGTATTATCAATCCACATCAAAATTCTATTTTCTTACATGTGACAGACTTGATACAAAAATAGCACAAAGATGTTCGGCCTTGTCTTACATCCAAAATTGCAATTAAGATAATTTTAATATTGAAGTATTGATAAGAAAGTGGCTTGAGAGAAAAATAATGACAAATAAATAATAATCTAATACCTAATAAAAGTTGATGTAATTCTAAAGCCACCAACCAATATGGCTGTAGAGTCCACCAAGTAGGAGCTAAAAAAATAATTGAGATAGTCAAAACAAAATCACATGTATCACAAACAAAGAAACTTTTATATATATATATATATATATATATATATATATAATCAATTGACAACTAAAAATATATGCTTATTGTTTGCAAGAGAATTCTTTACCAATCACCACCTCTTTTTGTAGAAACGGAGTAGATTTTATAATAAACTCTATAAATTTAGTTAGATGCAAATGAATGGAATTAATAGCAACTATCCAAAGATAAGTGCAAAGTACTAGAATATGATAGAAAAATACAAAGATAAATTATCAACTGGTAACAAAATACTTTATGAAAAAGAAAGAAAGAAACAAAAATTCATCTAAAATGATATTCGACTTATAAGATTGTTTCATTAGGCAAAATGATATGCAGTTATTTTATAAAAATATAAATAATGAGTATAAAATACTTGTTATATTTTATTGATTTTACATAAATATTGACAAACACATATTAGAACTTATGAAATCTACATTTAAAAAAAAAAAAAAAAAAAAAAAAATGACTTGCTAAGACAATTTTTTAGATTGATATAAGTATTATCTTTTATGGATCTTCAATACATAATTCCTTATAAGACACTATAAAATAAGTGCGATTAAAAAATAATGTTTACTTATTTTTACAAAGATTTTATAAGATTCAAATAAGAAAACAAACTACTCTAATTAAAAATCTAAAATAATATTTAGAAATTTCACAAAATAATATTAATTTTATTTAAAATCAAATAAAATAACTTATGATGCTAAAATTGTATTAATAAATCAATCTTCATCATAAGTTGATAAGTAATACAGATTTAAAGATAAATAAAACAGATTGATTTAGTTTGAAGATTTGATGCTTTATAGATTTAAAAAAAAAAAAAATGGCAAACAATTGCATGTGGAAGTGCTTTAAAATAGTTGGTTATTAGAGACTTCAATCTTACATACCTGAATTTATTAATGCCTATAAAATACAAGTTACTAAGTGATGTAAGTTGGAAAAAATATATGTAACTTATTTAATGTCTTCTACCATTCAATATAAACTATTTTACATTTTATTTCAATAAAAACGTTTATTTGTAAGATAATATTAGATAGGATAAATTAAAATGCTTAAGCTTATTTTGTTAAATACTTTTAAGACATTGTTAAAGCAATCACTTCAAAGAAGGTTTCAAGGCTTAATAAAATTGATGGTTTATTTTATTTGATTTTTTCTTTTATTTATTTTTTAAAAGAACAATATTAGGAAAGTGTCAAAAAATGTTATTTGGATTTGATAGAGTAGATTGTTTTTTATATTGTTTCTTAAGAAGAAATAGTGTGCAATAATATGATTTTTATAAATAGAGTAGAAGTAGTTATCATTAGGCAATTAGGTTCCAATAATTCTATGAAACTTTACATACAATATTTGCAAAACCAAAAATATTTTTAAAATAAGAAATTTTATTTTTAATGTATAAAGTTACTTACAACATAGTCTTATAAGATGTTAAATTTAGAAAAATATTGTATTATAATTAAAAATTTGGATCAAATTTCAAAATTTAGTCATTATTTATCATGCATTGTATATTCTTTTACTTTAAAGCTTTAAAAAGATATTTAAATAAGAAAAAATTTCAATTCTTAGAATTGTAAAATATAAATTGTGCAACAATTTGCCACCTGTAATCTTCTTATATTTGAAAATTATATTTATTGAATTCATTTTTTTATTATTTTCATTTTAAAAATAATTTCCATAAATATGAAAAAATTAAGAAAAAACATAAAATCGGACCATATCCATTTTCAACAAATAATCAAGCTTTATTAAATTTTTTTTTGTATAAAAAATTTGTTTTAAGTTTTTTTAAAAATATATAATTTAGACTCTTTTTAAGAGTATTTGATTATAGTTGATTTTTATCTGAAAAAATAAATTATTTCGTAATGGAAATTTTCAAATTTTATCCAATACAAATAGTTTCAAATCTACCAAAATCAATATGTTTAGGGCCATCTTGGATAAAGAATAATTTTACGAAATCGTCTTCTTCTATCACCTAATGTGGGTAATTTCTATGATAGCCACTTTGGTGTAACGTGGAAATAACTCACAAAGTAAGAAATGGATGGATGGAAGGGTGGATGGATGGATGCAAATGGGTTTAGGAGCAAATGAGAAAAGGAAGGGAAGGACAGGGCGGGGGGTCATGGAATAATAAGACAAAGAGCGAGAGAGTTTCCTTGGTGTGTCTTAGTAGACAACTACTCCTCCATCTCCTCCTTGTCGTCTTCTTCCTCCGAGCTCGTGAACCCACATGCCCTCCCACGAGTTTGAAACAGACAGGCATGGGAGAGGCCACCTTTCATGAGGACAACGCCAACAGATCACCAACAGGATCATTTCAATCATGGCTACGGCGGCTGGAGGAGGAGAAGAAGAAGGCGACGAAGAAGAAGATGATGATGCACAACACGACTACCAATCCGATAAAAAACACGAAACACCACCCACAGTTCCCTTTCATGCGTCGAGGAGGAGGAGGAGAAGGAAAGCTGAAGCGTAAAGCACATTTTATCTATTGGACTAGTAAAAGAAAATGACGAGGAAAATGGAAAAAAAAAAAAAAAAAAAAAAAAACTAAGGCAGGGGGAGAGAGATAGAGAGCAGATGTGTTTTTAATAAGGGAAATCCTTCGCTGCTCTCCATTAATAGCGAATGGGCCACAGGATGAGCTACTGAATGATGCTTTCAGAGACTGCCGCCAAGCGCCGGCAAGCTGGGGTCGTAGACCAATGTCATGGCAAGGCGATAGGATTGGCTCCGTACTTAGTTCGCGGCTCGGGAGTTGGGTTGTGAACATCTCTATAGGTTTATGTAGCGGTTCGAGATGATGTTCGGGAAGAATTTTGGTTGGTTCAAGATTCCCCACTCCCATCCCAAGTAGCGTTTAGATCGGGTTTTCGGAGGTCATAATACATTATTGATAGGCTGGGAGTGTGCAGTGGGGTTGGGAGCTGTAAGAGCTAGAAATATGTGCACAGGGAATATACAATATTTATTTTTTGTTGGTTCTGTGACGCAGTTGGGGGGACGAATCTTTCATGAAGTGTGGCCAATGAGTGTCGGAAAAGCCTGATTCGAATTGGGAGAAGTCTTCTCAGGAGCCGACATGACAGGGCAGAACTTTGCCTTAGATATCCAGAGATAGTGTACATCGCTTTGTGTGGGCTATATAATATTCAATCGTGGTTTTATCCAAGGTTCTGAAAGAGGTGAGTCAGCTTCACCAAAAGCCTAGTCTCAGATCATATTACTTTAGCGTTCGTCTAATTTGTATTATTATCATTTTTATTTGCAAAAAGCTCATAAGCATCAGACAAATGATTTGAAGGGAGATATATCCTTTCTTTTATGTGTTTATTTCGTATCCCTAGCATCCTCTCAAACAGGAGACAGTTTATACTAAAACTTTTCTACCTTGAATCAGAATCCTTTCTGTGTTGGATGACTGGCGTTACAGGGAATTAATTTTTGTCATACATGACTACATGAAAACAAGAATATTAATATGAAAAGCTCTAATGTCTTAATGTCCAACTTTTGACATCATAAGGTCCTATGAAAGATTCAAATCAGACTCATCCTTTTTCTTTTTCGTCTTTATTGATATGATATATTTTTTCCAGTTTAGACGGGGTTTCTAACGACGGCCCAAAGAACTAATAGAGGCTCTTGACAAAGGAAGTTTCAGGTGATACTCTGCAGAACCGATCTTGGACAAAATATCCCTGCAGTCTAGATGGTCTGTCAAGGCCACTGATCCAGCTACGAAAACTTTCTGATACAATTGGTTTCTGACACCCAGAAGCTGATACTTCAACACATACTCTGGACTCATGGAACCATGACCTTCACAAACGTGACAAAGACTATTCGCAAATTTGAACATAATCGACCTCTACCTTCACAATATTGACAAACTGACGTCATCTTGCGCTGAAACTAAACAAATAAAACTGTACGATGCAATTGTAAAGGATAACTTTGCAGGTGTTCGGTTCACCACGGTTTTTCCCGAACATGTGCTTGGGGATGTTGTCTAATGAAGTAATCATGCACCAACATTATAATGTCAGAAAAGGAAACGACACCATTTAGATGATCTTCATTATCCACCACCCACACCCGATGCACATGGTTGGTGAGTGCTTGCGACATTACTTCAACTATAGGGGTTTCCAAGTGACACGTAACAGGGGTTTTCTGAAATCCTTTGCATTCAAACGACCCAGCATTAACGGCTGCTGCCATTCCAAACCTCTGTGCCATGCCCGCTTTGCTTAAAAAACTAAGGATTGGAAGGGTTGACCAAGCTCGGAGCATTTCAGAAGTGCGTCCAAGTAAATCGCTTGCAGAAAACGTGCCCACCAGTTTTCTACCATTGCCCTGTTTCAGATCAATTTGTTGCATCGTCAGTGGTGCAAGAAGGCGTGAGGAAGTATGTGATGGACAAGCACAGAATCAGAGAGTGGAATTAAATGAGCAAGACATTTACTGGAATGTAGGTGAGAAGGATAGTATGGAAAGAACTAGGAAGATACTCACAAAGACGAGGGTCTGTTCTTTGTCCGAGTCTCCAGTTGTCTCCACAATTGCCACAGCTTGTAGCAAGCTTTTCCGGATGCATTTCACGACATCCATCACCTTCATGCAGCTGGGTGCAGCATATACGTTGGATTGTGCAGCACCCAACTCCAGCACAGTCGTGGTGGTCATAAAATCTAACTCCTTGTAATGCGCATAAAGAAATTCCACCACATCAGTCTGGGTCAAAATATGATAACCTGGTGAGGCCTCCTGAAGTTCAACTCCTACGGTGTGCTCCATTTTGCTTTCGATGGGAATCAGGACTCGGTGTATACCTTTGCTCATTGTCTCCATGGCATCCAGCACCCTGTAATCGAAGTGAGTATTCATAAGTGGATTTCACATGTTCTATCAAGCAGAACCGACGTTGAGAGAATGTGAGAAACCACCAAACGTGAGAAAAGTGGAGATAGGAAAGAAAAAATCCTAGTATTCCAGATGATAGATCTAGTGCAATATTCTAACCTTGCTATTTTAAAAGATGTCGAATTCTATATCTTTTTGGAAAGCTTAAATATCTAAAGGAGCTCAATATATCATGTAAAATGGAGTTGGAGTTTTAAACTTCACATAAAGGACGCTAACTGCGTATCTTTTTCTCAAAGTGATGGTAAAACCTGAATGACACAGCTGACCTAAATGGAGGGAGCAGACACCAGACAGCAGTTGGAGTTTTCAGTCCTTGGCCTATGATCGAACGTTATTAGAAGCTACAACGTGTCAATCTGACTTAGTTGTGGGGCTTCGTTCAATTGGTTTGAAATCCAGAGAGTAGCCCTAGCATGAGTCCATAGCGAGCCACAATACGCGTCCAGATGTGAGGCCGTCATGTGAGCACTCAGCATTGAAAGTTGCACAAATTTATTCCCCCAACTCAAGCGATGGTTCTGCTGTGCACTCTCCAGAGAAGAGTTCCACCAGTAAATTCCATACAATTTATCCATGAAATGCATGCATCGATGACCTGTGTGAAGAAGCTTACGACGTCTTGGGGCTGATACTCCAAAGGCCGAGGCCTTCCGTGGAGTTACCGATGATCGAACTCACGGTCGCTTTAAGCCGGGTATCAACATCTTCATCTTCTGCCTCCGCGATGTGAATAAGAATATCCAACATGCTCACTATCCCAATGTACTGCTTCCTCACCGCCCCGGTGGCCTTGTCAGATTCCAAAATCATACTACCCCCTGCTCCAATCCACTGACCTGGCGGGGCTGCAACGGGCACGGCCAGAATATTCTTCACAAGTAGAGTGTTGAGTGCGTCATTCACCGTCGCCATGTGAGGTATTTCCACCAGCCGTTGCTTATGCTCCACTATCTGCTGCACAGTAGTGCAACGGAGCAACTCCGCCTTCTCAAACCCATGTGCCATTGTTCAACACCTTCCACCTTCCCTCTCTTATACAGTAGCAAGCCTATGTAACCACCAGTGTCTTCATACAGTAAGAAAGACAACCAGACCCACTTCAAAATCCAACCACAAAACCTCGCCTCCTGAAGACATTACCACACACGCACATTTTCAACTTCTTTCATACCTTAAGAAGGCCCAATCAAGCCCTAATGCCGCAAACATGAGCGGAAGACTACTGGTCACGACAACACGATGTCCTTCTAAGCATCACCAAGACATAACCTTTGCAATCTCGATCGAATCCTCGCTCCGTTACTGCCTGTGAGACGACAAACTGCAGCGGACCCAACAACACGAATGCCGCTCCCGTTTCCGACTTCTCAAAAACTTCAGATAGCTGTAATAACAGCCCTTGACAGCACGAGTCCCCTCAGGAATTGACCCATTTGCACGGTAAATAGCGGTGTGACCACAACAGAGATCAGCAACAGTTCAAGGCTAAGAAGTGACGGGGTTACAGATCTGAGAAACTGTTTTGTGGGCTTAATGGCGACGCCGATTCTTGGCGGTGACGATGTTTTGCTGCTCTTGTGTAGACTTCAGGCAGCTGAGTGCCACTTGGCAATTCCGGCGTTGGAATCCTAACTGTCGCACGAGGGCTTGGGTTTAGGAGATTCTCGTCCATCCATTCGGTGGCCTCCGAACTCATCCATTTTTTCTCGTTCATCCGTGCCTCTCCCATCTCTCTCAAACATTATCTTACGTTGTTATATATATATATATATATATATAAGTGAAAACCTGTGCAGTTGGTCATAAAAAATTTGTAAAATTTTAATTTGTGGTTGCTAAGTTAAAAATTCACCACTCCTGCAAAATTTTTGACCAAGAAAAAAAAAAAAATAATAATAATAATAATGGAAGAGAAGAAGAAGAAGTATATGAATAACAATGGAACCATTTATATTTCTTCAATGTAATTAGAAAATTTATTTTTTATTTACTGAAACTACTTAAATAACTAAGTTAATTTTTTCTAAAGATAAACTATATTTTATGGTGGTGTTTCTATCTTCATTATTTTCAAGATATAAAATCTTGATAATATTCAAAAAAGTGCATTGTAAAATAGATATATGGTAGAAATCCATGCTGATAGGTATAGGAAAGTGTTCTCATGTTCTTGTGCATTCCCATGTGTTTCTAAGTTCTTAAGTTCCCATGAGTTCTTGTATGTTTCCTAAGTTCATATGGATTCCCATGTATTTTTTTTTAAGTTCATATAGATTCTTGTGCATTTCCTAAGTTCTCATGGGTTCTTATAATTAATTAGCTGAAATGAATTTAGGACATGGTGTTTATGGGTAGTTTTCTTAAACTAATTTTTATTAATCATATTCTTGAAAATTATTTTAGTTTTAACTTATTATTATTATTTTTGGTAAACTAGAGAGAAACTTATCTTTATGAAATTATTTGAGATTCAAAAATTATGATTATTTATTTATTTATTTATTGGATATGAAATAAAAAAATCCTTATTTCAAGGACTCTAATAATTTTGATGGTTAATTGTGAATTTTTAATATTAATATGAGTAAATCTTAAATCAATAAATCTAAATATGTTTTTACAACTAATAATTGGTATTTATTTATTTATTTATTTATTTATTTTATTTTATTTTTTTTCTTTAGGAGGTTTTTATGTCTAGAAGCTCATTTTAAAAGGCCATGGTTTAAAAGCTTTACCAAGGTCTGTTAGTGAAGAAAAATCCTCATTTGAAAGCTTTATCTTTTGGACATAATATAAAGTACAAAAATATTACAAAATGAACCAAAAAATTCTTTTATTGCAAGTCTAAATATGTCAAATTTTATGTTGACTCAAAAAATTATAAATAAATAAATAAATATACACACTTAGAAATAAATATTCTATGTAATTTTTGATGTGTTTTCTTAACTTTTCCTAAAAACCACCCTTAAGATGAATCTATTAAATTTTCTAAAGGGCAATACTATTTATCCTATATATAAAAATTACATTAAATCTCATCTTTTCTTCCCAGGACATTGGGATTAATTTTTATTGATTAAAGGATTTTAAAGTTGTAGCTTCCTACCTTATTTCTTTAGTATAAAATCAATGATTTTTTTATCTTATTATATATATATATATATATATATATATATATATATTTACCACACTCTATGTTGAAGATTCCAATAATATTTACCTTTGGAATTATTATAGGTGCAATTTAGAATTTTTTAAAGAAACGTTGGCATTTAGTTTTTTTATTATCAAGAGCAATATATGCAACCTATTTATATGGTATTTTCATAATCTTCTAATTTTACTTTAAATAGAATATATTTCTTTTACCACTTCAATTGCTTAGTAAATAGAATTTAATATGTAAATATAAAGCATAATAAAATAATAACAATAAAAAAATTTATTAAGGTTTTTGATGACTATTTATATGAAAAAAGTCTTTACTTTCTTTTATTTTTACATATTCTATGGACTTCAATATTATGATCCCATTATATTTTTATATTTATTTTTTTAATATTAGTCTTATATAATATATATGTTTTTGATATAAACAATAGTTGTTGGCCACAAAATGTAATAATAATAAGTACTTGGTTTTTGCTTCTATGTAGCTATTGATAAGAAAATAAAGTACGGCCATTTAAAAAAATTATCTTAAGCTAATGCTTTTAATAATCAATATTTATTTTGAAATATTTATTTAAAAAAAAATGTGACAGAATCTTTGAAAATAAAATAAGAGTTTTCACTTTTAAATTTTATGATTGGTAGAAATTGAGAAGACCCTATCTTGATTGGCTTCATACTTAGAAAAAAACGTCAAAGAGAACATAATAAAAAATAATAATGCAGAATGTATTTTGTTTCTCTTTCTACATAGCAGAACTAACATTGTTCTATACCTATATGAATCAAAAATTGTGTCAATAAGATTTTTTTAAATTAAAATTTTGATATTGAATACATACATACATACATACATATACACATAAATTAGTTTATTTTCTTACTAATTTTTTAAAATATTATATTTTAATCATAAAAAATAATGTATCATATCTCATAATGCATAAAAATTAATTATAATTTTTGAAAATAAATAAATTCATATGCATTTTTTTTATTACTATAAATCCATGATCATTAAAATTTAGAAATTTAAATTCTATAAAATAATATAGAATAAAATTTCATATTTGTTGTTGTAAAAATTATTGTTGAAGTTGGTTCTCAATCTTAATTTTTTAATTAAAGATTATATAAGTTAGAATATTCTAATTCATATGTGTATGTGTATATATATATATATATATATATATATAAATATATATATATCTATATGCATATTAATAAAATAAATATAAAATAAAATTATATTTTAAAAGATAAATTAAACCAATTAAAATTTTAAAGATCTATTTAGAGATAAATGGTTATTATAATATTTCTATATCTTTTTTAATAAAAAAATAAATTTTAATTATATTATTTAAATAAATAAATAATCAACTAAATAATTAAAATCTTCTAATATTTTAAATTATGATCGGAGCTCTATAAGAGAAACATTTTTTTAAGTATATCAAAAAATCACATGAAAATTTTAAAACAATCAATTGTATAAACATCATATATATATACACATACACATTTGATTGTATTGATCAATTGTAGATATTCTTGAAATAAGATTTTAAAAAATCATGTATAAAGTCAAATAATCAAAATTGTAATTAAAATCAACTTACAATGTCTTCTTATATAATAAGTTGGTTAATTATATTCTCCAATACTTTTGTATCTAGAGCCAATTCTTCTTTTATCTTCTTCTAAAAATGTTCTTTATCCTTCAAAAGAAGATGCCAAGAATTTTCAAACTTTAGACATAGCTTTAGGATTTTCTACACAATTTCACATCATAGAAATTGATAGCATTTGTTGTGATATTAATGCCAACAAGAGTGTGAGGACTATCTTATATCATATATATATATATATATATCTGTGTGTGTGTGTGTGTATGTGATAACATTGTCATAATAAGATTGTTTTAAAATATCCTATAAATAGAAGTAGAACTAAGCATACAGCAAGAAATAGATGTATAAAAACATACAACCTTTGCTATAGAACTCAAAGTAGAACTAGTCCAATAATAAAAAGTCAAAGCTCTCTTGGCAGCACAAAAGCTATGTTTTTTTTTTTTTTTTTTTTTTTTTGGTATTTTTGTTTTGCAATTGCAATAAAAAGACAAGAAATATAAACCCCTTAAACAAAAAATTCCAATAATGCAAAGAGGTAGAAGTCATCTAAAAGGTTTGCAAATTGTGTTTGTGGTTTTAGGATTCAATCATTTAAGGCTTCTTCTACCTACATCCAAGGTATTATAACCTATATAGAATATGTTCACTTCTCTTCCTACAACTATTATACAACTACCAGTCTTGTTGTTTTTTATTTGTAAAATTGTTTTTTTTTTTTTTTTTTTTTTTTTAAAATATTTTTGACTTCACCTTGGTATTTAAAAAAATTATTTTAGCACATAAATTTTCTAAGGTCTTTAAATCTCTCTCAAGTTCTTTGTTGCGGTCTTCAAAGGAGTAAAATTATTTCTACCAAAGTCTTAAAAAATATGCTTAAATATTTTTAATTAAATTCTACAAACACTTGTATTATTTTTATAATTATAATATAAAATTAAATATATTTTGTAGTAAAAAATTATTTTTTTATAGTTATAAAATTAATTTAAATAAAGTATTATTATTTTTTATGATTTTTTTATCTACAAATTAGCATTTATGGATTTTAAATAAATAATGCATATAGATAGAAGGCCAATATAGAAATTGGTCTCAATTACTAAATAATAATTTTTACCATTTAAAAATAAATACTCAATCAACTAAAATAATTGCCTCTAGGAATTAGCCAGATTTTATTTTTATGATTTCTTTTCTCTAATAAGACTCTCACAACTCAAAAATCCTTTTAAATTATAATAAGTATTTATATAATCAAATAAAATTTTAAATATTAGTTTTATTATGTATAAATAATTTAATATTATATTTTTGATAATTTGACCATCTAATTTTTGAAACCTTTATTCATTTTAATTTCAATTATTTTTGTTTTAACTATTCAATGTAGTTTAATTTAAGAAACAACACATATTTAAAAAGTATACTTTTACAAACTAAGAAAATATTTAACCATATATTTGTTCTATAACTTATGCAAATCACCATAATAAATTTTTCTTTTTATTCCACAAAAAAAAAAAACCATCCAAAAAAACCTTAACATTGCAAAGCTTTTACAAAGCCAATATGAACTTAAATACCTAAAAACTAATGCTTATAAAAACCTCATCAATTTGCTATCAAAGCTTGTAGTTTGATCTCAAAACAAATCTTGTTTGTTGAGGTCTGCGGTTTTGTGCATCAAAATTTGGTTTTGACCTTGGTTTATAATTAGCCCTCTTTGGGTATTAATTTAAGATTAATCTCAGTATATTTTATTGATTGCTAGTCTTTACTTCTACCTAAAGCATTAGTATTAGATTTTTTTACTACCCCCTTAATTTGTTTTGTATTTCTAAGGTAAATTTTTATTTTTTTTTAAAATATGCTCTTCTACAATATAATACTTTTCTTTCATTTATCTAATAGCCATATTACTATACAAAAACCATAGAAATAAAGAAATAATTCTTGTTTTTTTTTTTTTGAATTTTTTACAAAGAGACAATCTTTGTAGTAAATTGTACTAACAATGTATGTAATCATTGAACATATCCATCTTCCAAATTGCTCTAGATTTATAATTCACTCTCAATTTATATGTGTTTTAAATAATTTATAGCTTACATTTGATGATGTTTAGCTATACTCTACTTTACTAGTTTTTACAAGTTGAAGACTTAAACCAATATTATGCAAATAGATATTTTTAGAAACTTATGCATTATATGTGGAAGAGATAATTTTGATACGGAGCAAATCCAAAGTTTTAGATAATCTTTCTTCTACTATCATCAACAACATATATACTTTATAAGTTGATAGATATATCATCTATCTTGAGTCATTTATTAAAGATTACCTTACTATTATAAATAGCCAATTTAATTCTATTTTAATTTTATATTTTTGATATTTTAGATTTGACCTTATTAAATATAAAAGATTTTGGTTAGTATCAATGGCATCCATATATACTTTGAAATGTTGTATTCTAAAATGGCTATTGAATAAAAATGATAATATATATATATATATATATATATATATATATATATATATATAAATAATAGAAGAGCTTATTTTAAAATTTGATAAAAATTTTTTTTAGAATTATAAAAAAAAATTAGGAAGGTAGTAAAATAATTTAGTGTTAATGCTATCTTTTAAGAAAATGAGCTTTTAATTTTTTAAGTATCATAATATAAAATAAAAATAGATAATCTAAATTAATATTATAGATATTTTTAGATATTTATATATTTATTTAAAACAAAAATTACCTAAAATAACCTTAAATTGATACTTAGACATGATTGGATGTGAATTAAGGTCAAAACTAGAGTTTGGGCATATAACCATGCACCTATGGCAAATCTAGAGATTTTTTTGTTGATCAAATAGCAAGATTTGAAAGAAAAATTGATAGGATTTTCTTAAGTGTTAGATTTGAATAATTCTATTTTGTGGTGAATTATATGAGTTTTGTAGCACATTGATAAATGTAATTTTATGAATTTGTAAACATAATTGTGTTAGATGTGTATTGTAAAATTGAATTGAATTAGATGGTCAAATCAAAACTAATTGGAATATAAGTAAGTTATGATTTCAAAAATTAGATCTTAAAAGTTAATAAGTATTTTTATAATTTTAAATAATTTACATATTGGATTAGAAATTTTTTTTGTATGCTAATGGTTAATTTAGTTTTTAATATTTATACAAATTTTGAAATCAAGTTAACAATTCAAGAAACAATATTAACATTGAAAGGTTTATATTGAAGTTGAAGATAGAAGACAATTGAGACCGATGTAAATTACAAATATTTTTTTTTAATTGATAAATTCAATTCTTTTTAAACTTTATGTACTTATTTTCTACTAATAAATTGAAATTAGTAATTAAAATGATATTTTATAACATTTAAAATTTACAATAGAGTTTATTCTAGATTTGACAAGATTTTATTAGAATTTATTCAAATTTTTATTAGAGTTTTTAGGATTCTTTTAGTATTCCATATGATTTCTTAGTAATATCTTTAGGATTTCTTATAATTCCTTTTAGAATTCCTTTAAGATTCAATTAAAATTTTAAAATTTTTTAAAAAAATTATTTGAAGTTTTGAGTGTGATAAGATTTTTTTAGCTTATTTAAGATTTCTAAGATGGTGTTGTTAAACACCTTGATCATTTCTTTTGGATTGTAAATACAACTTCAAAGTAAGATCGAATCCTTCTATAGTCTTATGCCTAATATATTTTCAAGCTGATTTTTACATAACACAACAATGGTCATTGATGCTTGTGATGATTTTGAGCAAGAAGAAGTTGGAATAGATAAGAAGGTTCTATGGTAATGGCATAGTGCTCAATCAATGCAAATATTGATGGAAAGTTCAGCATTAAGGTACAAATTTAGAGCTTGTAATGTGTTCCTTTAGATGCTCCCAAGACTGTAAATGTTCAGAAAGACTTTTAAAAGAAAAGTGCATCTCCATATGTACACAAGTGTATTAGAAAAAAAAAAAAAAAAAAAAAAAAAAAAATGTGGATGAGTTTATTTGTATATGAGAATAAGTAAATGAAAATAAGAGCGAGAGTAGAAGTGTTTGTTTGTACTTTTTTTCCTAAGTGTGTATATGTATATATGTATATTAATGAATTAATAAGGGAGAATAAGAGTGAAAGTGTGTATTTCTACTTGAGGTGTTGATGAAAATATTCATCTAATAAATATTAAAGATTCTTTATTAATTGCATATCAAATACACATGTTTGATAGTATTTTGTGTTTATAAGAAATGAATCACTTAGTCAGCTTCACTTATATAATTCTATAAATAAGGTTAAGAAATTATATTTAGAAATCATGCAAGGTAAAAGAAATTGATATGATTGCAAAGAATTTGGACATTGTACATTTATTAATTGATAGAAATAATCCACATTAATAAGATATATATTTTTTTGGAAGTTTGATTTAATCGTTGGTATATTTTGGTTGTTGATAAATTGTAGGCCTAATATTTTTTTTGTACAGACAATTAAATATTAATATTGGCACCAAAATCAAATCTAAGCCCGACATGTATAAAATTGTGTGTGTGGTTGGCAAGCACTTGCTCACTCTAATGATATTGTTTTGGATGATATGATGTAAGCAGTTTCAAGGTAAATAATGGGATGTAGAGAAGAAGTGAATTGTTTTATAGAAATAGGTATAAAAGAAGAAACAAAGTAAAGAAGAACATAATAGAAAGGATTAAGAAGGTTGGTAGAGCTCTAGCAAGAGGGCCAAGAGTGTTGCAAAAAGTTAAAAGCATATGATAATTTTTTTTGAAGATGTCTTTATTTTTTATTTTATTTTATTTTATTTTGTTTGTTTTTGGTTTTGTAGTGTTGTGCAAACAAAGCTGAATTTTTTACCTTTTATTTTAAATAAATAGCTCATTTTAAAAGTATTTGTTTGAATTTATATTTGTGTATTTGTGTATTTGTGTATTTAAGTATTTATGTTCTTGTACTATGTTTGTGTCTTTACATGTTTGTGTGTATAGGTTCTTGCATTATATTTGTCTTTTTGTACAAATAATGTTAAATTCTTCATCTTTGATTAAAATTTATGAGCCAATTTTAAAAAAGATTTATTTATGTATATTTTGTTTGTTTTTCTCATTATACAATCTCATTTAAATTTGAATTAAGAGCTAATTTTAAAAATATTTGTTTGTGTTTATGTTTAAATGTTTGTAGTTGTTTTTGTGTTTATATATTTTGTTTGTTCCTCTCATTATACAATCATTTGATTTTGAATTAAGAGCTAATTTTACAAGAATGTCTTTGTGGATGTTTGTACTTGCATATTTATGTTTTTGTATTGTGTTTGTGTATTTTTTTTGTTTCTTTTTATATAATCTCATTTGATTTTGAATCAAGAGCTAATTTTAGAAGAGTTTGTTTGTATTGCAAGTACATTTGGTTATAAAACAATCAACTTATATTTGTTTCATTAAAAAATTTAGATTCTTTTGTTAAAGTTTTTATGTAGGAAATTAAATGGTTCTATAAAAGTATATTTTTAATTATTATTAAAGTTTGTTCTAAGAACACTTTAAAAAAGTAATAAAATAATATATAAGTTATACTTTTAATCTCAACTTTTATCATACACACATATTTTGATTGTATATTCCAAGATTAAATCTTCAAAAAAAGTCTAATTTTTTTTTTTTTTTTTTTTTTTTTTTAAACTCCTAAACTGGGTGTTGTACTAAAAACATAAGTGCTAAGACTAAAAAGTGCTAAGTGAACGGTTGATTCGTTTGGTGAGGAACGCAACATACACGCCTACGCAACCACATTGTCATCGCTCGCAGAATTTACTCCTCCAACACCATGCTAGAGTTGGCTCTTCTAATCTAAGCTCTGTTCCGCACCTGCCTGCAGAACCCACCCACGGTTCGAATCATGTGTAGCCTGTGTCGTATTCTGTGGAGCTTACGGTGTCGGATTTTAGATCAGAGTTTGGAGGTGGAGTCAAAGAGACCGTTCACTAATCCAACACGGCGTTCTGAGAGTTTGTAAGAATTTGAGCTTGCAAGTGGTCGTCATGTATTTTGGGTTTGACGTTGCTCACGTAGTTTGGTTCGTTTCTTGTCAACAACATGGTCTAGAGTACTATTTGATTGTTTGAAAAGGGTATGGGTGTACAGATTTCTCTTCAGGAATTATGCTAGTTCGGTTTGTGGGGTTTACAGGGAATATGGCATTGACTGCTTTCTTCCTGTATTGGTGGGGTATACGTCAATTTTCTTCTTTCGCCCTTCCGAGTGCCTTTTGTGGACCTTAGGTGCAGCTTTAGTTGACTCCAGCATCTGGCTATTAGATGGGCCCAGTTGTGTTGGCGGGGCAGAAAATTTCTGAGCTATTGTTCTGAATCATTACTCTTTGAAGCTGCAATATGCTAATCCTTTTGAGACTTTGAGAATTGCAAGTTTTTGTTGCATCTTGACTTCTACACTTTCTGTGCGCCTCCCGTGCTTATTTTTAGAACTGGGTGTGCTTCAATGAAGAATATTGATCTGCCTGTGCAGTAGTAGGCATTCCGAAGGTAGTGGACGCGTAGATGTGGCGCGAATTGCGCCTTTGTTTGGGAGCTTGATCAGTCATGGCGTGTGCTCTGTCTGTCTCGGGGATTTTGTGTGCGTCCCAAGCTGCAACATCATTTTCAAGTGCGAAACCCACGAAATCCCAACCTCATCCTGTCCAGCTCAAGGCCTTTGTCCCAATTTCTCAGCCTGCTGCTCTCAAATCTGCCAGTCTTGTCGTCTCCCCTTCTCGCACCAGGTTTGCACTGAAGGCTAAGCTCTCTATTTGTCTCTCTTTAGCTTTGTACACAAATCACTGAAATTAAGGCCATTGCTCAAACGTCACGACCGTACCTCATAATGGATAGTCTCTGAACATGCTTATCCGGGAGGCGCCTGGACAGCACCCTGCATGCAAGGATGTGTCCTGTGTTCCATATATCTAGGATTTTTGCCCCAGGACGTAGTAAGGAATCGACAAGAAGTAGGCATTTCCTTAGTCTGACCCGAACAACAAGTTCCATGTTGTATATATGAACATCGTTTATTTGGCATCTTTGAAAAACATTAACACCACTCTTTGCTGTCGAAACTGTAAACTCATCATCTGCTTGTGATGTTTCTGTGTCACCAGCCATGCAAGTGTTGAAGCTGAGACGGAGCCCTTCACGCTTGCCAACATCCGAGAGTCGCTAATTCGGCAGGAAGACACTATTATCTATGCACTTCTTCAACGTGCACAGTTTAGCTTCAACGCTCCTACATATGATGAAAATTCTTTCTCTATTCCAGGATTTAAAGGCTCATTGGTTGAGTTCATGCTGAAAGAAACAGAGACTCTGCATGCCAAAGTGAGTTTGAAGCTCTGCAGTGTTCGTATCTTCTTTTTTACGAAATGACTTCATGGTTTTCTTTTGTACACCACTTACAAGCACCTCTATCTTTATATTTAGGTCATTCTTTCTTATACATAACGTCATTATCGGGCAGGTGCGGAGGTATCAAGCGCCCGACGAACATCCTTTCTTTCCTGAGGACTTATCTCAACCTATTTTACCCAGCCTTCCAAAGTCCAGAGTAAGAACCTGTTTACATTCGCTGCTTCAGTTACGATTCTGTTTAAAGAAGCGCTTCAGACATAGTAGAATATTCTGATCTGTCAAGTTTTTGTAGGTTTTATATCTGCATGAAAGCCTTTATAATTGACAGAGATATTTCTGCAGGTCCTGCACCCAGCAGCAGAGAAAATCAACATTAACAAATCTATATGGAGCATGTATCTTCAAGATCTCTTACCAAAGCTCACCGTACCAGACGATGATGGCAACTATGGCTCAGCTTCTGTGTGCGATGTTCTCTGCCTGCAGGTGCGGAACCTTGCGTGTTATATTCGTTTAAATTCTTTTTACTACCTTTTCTGTAGTTTTACGTATTCCAAGTAGACAGGAGACGGATATGTAGTAGTATTAAGCTAGGGTTTTCAGTGAGCTTTCTACGTTGTTATTCCTCTCATAAGAACGGAATTATTTTGGGTATCAATCATAGTTCCTCGATTGATAGATACAGTATTGAGAGTGAAATCCTCCCTTCTTGAATGGCTGATATCATCATATCATTCAGAAGTGTTTCTAGGGGAATTTTAACAAAAAAGTTTCTGCAGGCTCTCTCTAAACGTATACACTATGGCAAGTTCGTGGCGGAGGCGAAGTTCATAGAGGATCCTGCGAGGTTTGAGGGCCATATCAAGGCGCAGGTACGGTGCCCGCTCTTTCTTTCACCCTCTAAGTAGTATCCAGACAGTAGGTAAGCTAAGAGGCCGTTTGCATGCGACCCTGTGAGTAGAATCAGCGTGGGATCGCCTCCTACATCAGCTGAAATTGTTCGTTATTTCTCAAGAAATGAAGATTGAAAATATTATCTCTTGTCTTTCAAGGGCATTATCAAGGAGATTACATGCAAAAGATGTATTCAAGTCTTTGTTAAAAGGGCTACTTGATATGATTGCTGTACACGTATGATTCACTGTAAGGTTCGGTTGTGCGATTACAGGATGGAGATGCAATATTGAGAGAATTAACCTTCAAAAATGTAGAAGACAATGTGAAGAGGCGAGTTGCAAACAAAGCTAGAGCTTACGGTCAGGAAGTTAACGAGCATGGGAAAGTTGACAATGCGAGGTACAAGATCGATCCCGACCTTGCGGGTGCTCTTTATGAGGATTGGGTCATGCCTCTAACGAAGCAGGTACAAGTGGCCTATCTTCTTCGGCGTCTGGATTAAATCACTTAAATTGTGGTAGTTGGTTTGCGAGTTGAAGAGGATTATATGCACGACGCAGTTAAACGTGATTTCTTCACTCTTGAGCGAGGTTTTGCTTAGGGATCGTTTTATCTGTCATCTTTCCAGGGGCATCTCGGATGTCTCTTTGTTATTAGGTTTTGCTGCCAGTGCATTTGTTTACCTGATAAGAAACATTCTAGAATAGCTCTTAGTATTAGAAGTTTCATCTTCGAGCTCAACCCGATATAATTTGATCCTAGAAATCAACACTGGAAAAACGTTTCTTGTTCTCGATAGGCCGTTGAATGCATCACATTATATGAGCGATTTTTTGCGCTTTCTACAGAAATCTGTCCATGTTAAATAAAACCTGTTTCTCCTTGCCAACACATATTGGGAAAAATTACAAAGACTTTTTATATGACTTGTAGTTGCACAGTAGATCCTAACCTTAAGTCTTGTCGCTAAGTCATGCCTGTATACCTGTACAACCCTACACCTGCCTTTGGTGGTAAACCAGAGATGTCAAGACCAAAACGTTATCAATCTTGGGATGTGCACAAACGTTTAGGAGGATTTGTGGGTTTCATCTGCGTTGACCCAAAAACATTGCAAAAAAGACCTCGTAACATTCCTGGACCGCAACTCCACGAATGACACCCAAATTTCTTTTGATTGTGCTTTTGATTTCTTAAAAAGAATCAAAACCAAGGCAACTGATAAGGTCAATGATCAATTCTGCTGAGTCCAGATGCGCTCATATTGGAGGAGCAGGGGTCTTCCCGTTGTGTTCTTGTTCATTGTAGGTCATGATCTGGGATCTCTCTCTACTCGGCAAAGAGTCTGGCCAATTGCTGAAGAGACATAAAAAGACATGCCTGTGCTGACCAAGAAAAAGACATGCCTGTGCTGACCAAGCACAAAGATAGGCATGAAGCATTCAATGAACCACGCTAAAATTGTGCTCATGGAGACTTTTTTAGCATGAGATTAAGCAGATAATGTTCGCATGGGGGAATTCACCTACAAGTTATCAAAAACACCTCTAAAGTTATCAAAAAGTGACTTGTTATTGTAGAAGGGATGGTAAAGGTTTTTTTTTTTTTTTTTTTTTTTTTTTTTAATATCTAAAAATATTAAAAAGGTTATTCTATATTTATTCAGATTCAAAAGAGACAATTTACAAAATTCTAATCAATTTTATATTTTAGTCTAAATATGGTATATGTACATTTCAAAAGTAGGATCTACTATTTAAATTCAAGGTAGTAGGAGATTTTGATATGGCTTTTATACTAGGTATTCTTTGCATTTTTATTTGGATTAATTTCAAACTTTTATCAAAGAAATTCAAGCCTATTGCAAATCAAATCTTATGCAAGCTGATACTAAATGTCTAAAGTAGAAGAACAATTTAGTATTCATTACTAACGAGCCATTACATTACATTAAAAGATCGCAATAATAAAGACAAAAATATACAATCATTATTACAGTAAGTAAATATATACAATATCTATATAATTTTGATTTAAATAATTATTTTTTGTTTCTCAACTATAAAATAATCTCTACCACAATAATAAAGTGCCTATGCACTCTAATTGCAACTTACTTTATAATACCTCCCAAGCAAGTATTTACAAACTAGCAAGCATTCTTAGTCTTTTAAATAACACTCTACAAGATATTTGAGATTTATCCCTTATTGTTAATTTTTTAAGTTAAAATATTATTATAATTTTATTTATATTTATATGCATTAATAGATATTGGTCTTTATATTATACTAAGTAATATTTGCTAATAAATTATTTTAGGCATTATAACTAAGATTGTGAAGAATAATTCTTAGAAAAAAGAAAGAAAGAAAAAAAAAAAAAAAAAAAAAAAACACCTTGTCTATAGTACAATATTGTTAGGAACTTTAATATTGGACTTTTAGAAAGTAGCATCTATTTATATATTTATTATTAAAAAATATTATATTATAATATTATTGATTTCTATAAATCATTGGCTTTGATTTTTATAGAAATTATTTATAAAAGTTTTGTAGGGATGTATTATTAAGAATAAGAACTCAATGAAAGCAAATAAACAAGTGAAATTTTCTTAAAGAAATATGACAAAATAAAAATAGACAAGTATGTATATTAAAAGAAAAACTAGAATGGCTATTGCCAAAAGACAAGAAAACTAGAGATTCTTGAAACTAGACTAAAAACAAGAAAGGAATTGAGAAGAGTGAAGAAGGCTTTATTCTTGCCTCTATATATACTATCTACTTAGGATCTATGTGGCAACGTTCAATAGGACCTCCAAAAATGTATTAATTTTACATGACATGTATTTTAACCTACAAGGTAAGTTTTTTATATGGATACCACATAGTTAGCTTGTTTTGCAAGCTACCAATACATGTGGTACATGGTTATCTTGTTGACCAAGTTTTTAGCCTATTAATCAACTACAAATACATCTAAAGCCAAAATAGCATCTAAAAGGTATTATGAAATTAATATACTTTTAATTATTTCTACCTATTCATATTACTTAGGTAACAATTATAATATATATATATATTTGTGACGTTACCTCCCCTTCTAAGAACAAATTCCACCAGGAGTAGTCATCATATATTGAAGAAGTCAAAGATGTGGCAAATTGTATTTGCAATGTACTCTAATCTTTTTTCTCTTTGAAAATAGTTGAGAGGTCTTCTTAGCCATTGGTAATGTCTCATTTCAAGGCAAGAAGACCATCCTATTATTTAATTATTATTGAAACCTTTATAATTTTTTTTAAATAAAATATTTGTAACACCATTAGAATTTGTTCTTACCTCTAATAAAATTACCAAACATCAAGAGTTTCTTCCCAAGTTGTGATACCAAATGCATTATATTTCACTATCTATTTGAGGAAGAATATGTAGTTCTTGAAGGTCTTCATCTCTATTATGTCATCTTAAAGGCTGTGATAATTGCAATGTCTTGTCCAATATGTCACCAAAAAATAACTCTTGAATTGAATCTGATGGTTGTTGATTTTCCATCTCTTTAATGCCACAATTATATAAAAATTATAAATAAAGATAGAAAATAAAATGTAATCTTTTCTAAACTATATTTCTTTTATAGCAAAGATTTTCTATTATTTATCTTGGTTTTAATAGATGACATTGATGAAAAGTTTTGACCTTTTTTGTTGCATTTAAAAGATTTTTTGTTGGCTCCCATATACATTTGTTAATATCATATCCGTGCCAATGAATAAGATATCCTAACCTATGTTGGTGCTACCTTGAGTCAAAGACTTCTTCTACCTCAAATTCTTGATTATTATCTACTTCTATAAGAAGTGGTGGTATTTGTCTTTTTTCTGAGATATTCATTGTCTTATATAGCTCTAAAAAAAAATGTGAAACATAAGATGGATTTTCATAGACTCCAATAGATATAATAAATAAGTGACTGGATTGACTTATTGATAAATAAAAAATGGTTCAAGTCTATAATAATCTAGCTTATTATATGGGCAAATAGTTTTAATATTATAAAAAAGTAACCATATTTTATTACTAATGTGGAAATGAAATTGTTCTTTGCAATAAGCATTTGCGTTACTATTTTGTTGTTCTTGAGCCTCTTTTAATCATGCCTTCTTTGTCATATGTAGCTCAGATAAATGATTTGCCAAATCTTCCACTACAAAATATCAACTTTTGAAAAGTCAAAAGCATCAAGTTGTAAATGATAACCATGATTAACAAAAAGATATTTGTTACATAAAATAAATTATTATATTATTATAAGTAAGCTTTGTCAATGGAAAAAGAATTATCCAATCAACTTATTAGTAGTTGATAATATACCACAAATACTACTCCAAAACTTGATTTATATACTCTGTTTATCTATTAATTTAAGAATAGAAAGTTAAAGATAGTTTAATGTCCACTTTTAAAATCTTAAAAATTATATTTTAAAATCCTGATACAAATTGAGTTTTTCTATTTAATATAATATCTTTAAATAATCCATGATAGCAATAGATATTGTCAAGAAAAATCTTGGTTGTTTCTTCACTTATGATAGCTTTTATACATAGTATAGAATATGCTATCTTCATGAAACAATCTACTATCATGAATATATAGTCATGAGAACCAAAGACTAGAAGATCTATGCTAAAATCCATAGAAACAAAAGACCATGGTTGTTCTAGAATGAATAATGATTAGAGAAGTCCATAGAATCAATGATAAGGAGTTTTTGACCTTGAATAAATGTCATATGATTGGACAAAGTCTTTCATTGCCTTCTACATTTGTGGCCACCAAAAATCTCTAGATATAAGTTCTAAAATCTTACTGTATCTAAAATATCCAGTTGCTAAAAAGTCATGATGTGCTTGAAAAACACGTAAATATGTTTTTCCTTCTAGAATATATAGGCATCTTTTGAAATAGAGTAGATTGTTTTTAAACTCAAACTTGGAAGTATCATGAGACTTAAAAGAAAGATTCTTAATATCATGAATAAGAAGATTAAATGACATACTTGATTAAATTATTTAACAAAGCTTGAATCAATAGTCAATATTGATTTTATTCTTAGAAGATGAAAATGCTCTGGTTTCAAGAGAATTTTTCTTTGTTAATCAAAAGATGCATCTCTTTCTTTTGGTATAAGATAATAATATCTAAAAATGATGCTTGATAAATATTATTATTTTTTGAGTTGATAAATGTTCTTAAAATCAAATCTTGAAAAAACATGCTTCAATGGACCTAGTGACAATTCAAAATACATGCTAATATAAAATATTCAAGATTCTTATGGTTAATATAAAGAATGACGAGATTAAAATCACCTTCTAAATAATGGGGCCATTCCTAAAACAAGTCTATAATTATAAGAAGTTCTTTGTCATGAATCTTATAGTTGATCTCGACTATTGAAAATTTTCTTGAATAAAAAGCTATTGGATAAAGATTATCATCTATTTTTATTCTTGATAATATGACATGTAAACTAAAGTCCAATGCATCTGTTTCTATAAAAAAATGGTTTAAAAAAGTCAACATGATACATGATTGATGTAGAAATAAAGACAGTCTTCAAAACTTCAAATGTTGCTTCTATTTCTTGATTCTATTGAAGTTTGTCTTCACAAGTCAAATATGTAAGTCAAGCTATAACCTGAGAGAAGTTCTTGATGAAGATCTAATAGTACTTGATAAATTCCAAAAAACATTAGATATCTCTTATCATTTTTGGAATCTTCCAATCTATAATAGTTTAAACTTTCTTGTGATCTATAATAAATCCATCATTTGAAATGATATATCCTAAGAAGTTGACTTGAATAATATAGAATATACAC